GTGACCAGTGAAAGAAATACACGGGGGCTCGGGGCGATTTAGCCCCCGAAATGCTAAAAAGAGCCCCGGAAATGCCAAAAAGAGCCCCCGTAAATTTGCATAGAGTTCAATGCAAACCAAATTTTAGAATGCTATTTTCATGCACGCGAGCTTGAAAAGTAGCCCCCGAAAAATAAATTTTACCCATTTTTTCCCTGGTGATGATATACTTATCTCAACCCTCATGCTAAGCCTAATCTTAACCTTAACCAAGACCTTCACCCTAACCCTAACTTAACTCTATCACTAGCCTTAATCCTAAACCTAACCCTCACCCAAACTTAACTCTACTACTAGCCTTAATCCTAAAACTATCCCTCACCCAAACTTAACTCTATCACTAGCCTTAATCCTAAACCTAACCCTATAAACCTAACCCAAACTTAACTCTATCACTAGCCCTAACCTTAACTCTAACCCTCATCCTAACCCTCACATGCCTCATGCCAGTGTTGAAAATCGCGGGTCGTCCCATGTTATATCCTCCAGGGCCGGGACTGGTAACTTTTGAGCAGGACTGGCTCATTTCTATGGATATTACTATACTAGGTAAAATAGGACTGGTTGGGTGACTGGCAGTGTAATGTATCAGACTAGTTGCGTAATTATATCTATAAGACTAGTTGTTAGACAAACGCATCTATATTCGTATCTATACAAGAACACATCTAGATAAAAGCAAAGATGTGTCCGTGGAAGTATCAACATAAATAAAACGTATTTTCAACGTAAACCGCAACACAGCAGAGCATGCAGCCAATTCAGCCACATTACTTCAGCTGTTATAAATACACAATATTAATACTAACAGGAGCGTATAATGACAAATACGTATTTGTCATTATACGCTCCTGATACTAATCAACTGTAATACCGTATAGATTATAAAAGGCAGGAAGCGAAACGAACACGTTTTCGTGTTTCTGGGGCAAGCAGATATGCTGCAGGGAAAGTGAAAGTTAGACCCTGCGCACTTTTCCGATAGGAAAAAATAGGCGGATTTGTTTTTTATCATCTATTCCCTCGATGATTTGCTGTTACGTTATCTTATGACCTTCCCAAAGCTCCTCCCCCCCCCCACCTCGCACAGACCTGCGATTTTTGGTTGCTCGGTGCTGCAACCTGCAACCGCAAGCGATCGGTCGTTGTGTCGCCGCGTGTGCGCACACATGCGATTTCAAAGCAATTATATTCTAGAGCAATTAGGGAGCGATTGCGAGCGACGAGTCGCTCAAAATCAAAACAGTTTGATTTCTTGCTGCAGCCAGAATCGCTACGGGTTGCAGTTGCACGTTCCTGCAGACGTGGT